ACGGAGAGAAATACTGTAAAGATCAAATGAATTGTTAAAAAAGTTGTAGATTGATATATATTCTATCTGAAAGATTAAAGCAAACTTTCAAGGTAACTATGTCATTCAAGTTCGACAGAAATCATGTTACTAAGTATTTCATCTTATTTATAGCCAGTCAAGAGGAATACTTGTAGTTCACTTTACCGCATTTGTTAGTAAAATATTGAATATATTAATCTAATACATTACATAATGTATATATATAGATGAGCCAAGCGAATTTTCGTCAATTTGTGTATTTTAAAGATCATATGATCTTGACAATTGGTTCTGGAGAAATTGAACATATTCGAATCATTTCTTACATAGCTATTTATAAAAAAAAGAGCTGTATTATCCTCCAATAAAGGACTAATCATATTATGTCAAAAAGAAATATAAAAATTCTTTTACAGCCTGAAAGCTTTAACATAATGTTTCGTTTTTGTGAAAATACTATTTCAAAGGATATTCAGTCTGAAATCTAGTTAACAGACATATCTTTAACTGACATTTCCTATTTCGATATCGGTGTTTACCAAAGTCTGTTCTATATTCTATATTCTTCTGTGTAGTTGGTTCCAATGTTTCATTTTTGATTTGAAAAATACAACAAAGAACGTTTTTATTATATAGTTACTTTAAGATAAACAGAAAAATGATAATCTATAACTGGATATTAGTAAAATAGATAGGTTTAGGGTAACAAAGAGTTAGTAACATAAATATAAACTTTTTATATTGATCAGTTGAAAAGTAAATTGACCTCTATTTCCACATTAATTGATTAAATTTGATTTTTATCTTGCGTTTTTCAGGTTGATAAATTGAAATGAAATTCTAGTTTGATTTTTAATGAATAAAGTTAAATGAAGTTACGTAAAGGTTTAGTGCATTTGTAGTGTCGGTTATTATGTTAAGCCCATATACCTTATTTTAGCTTTCGGACAGCCCATTCTATTCATTCTACTTGAGTCACATTCTGACCTTGTTGTTTATTCGCTTATCAATCTTCATTGTTTTTATATGAGCGCGTAGGTGTGCGTACATTTCTTATCCCTTTACTCATCACATGTCTGTAACTTACTTTTGTGTAACTATAAATATTGGTTAACGCTTGGTAAAATGAGAGTTGGTTTACCAGCCTTCTCCACTACTCGTCGTTTTGCTTTGTTCTATTCCATTCGCTTTATATAAAAAATATGTTTGTTCACAAGTCCATTCTCGTTATTCGACTTATTTAAATCCCGTTATTGACTAACGCGATTTAAGTCGATGATTATATACGAGGATAGGCGATAACAAACATTCATACGGTCTAATTGGAGTCAGATTTCGGTCACCAAACACTGAACAATTCGATATTCTTACCTGAAAAACGTTTATTTTATGAAGTATGATATATGTAGAGGTTACAAACTATTAACTTTTTCACTCAAGACAATATTCGTTATATTAGCATTAGATTAGGTTTTGAATTATCCTGATGTTGTTAATGATTGACTGAATTGCGATCAATTTTATTGACAAATGTAAATCCTATACGATGCTCAATGAATAACGTGTTGTCAGTTTAAGGCAAAAAGTACTAGGTTATAGAATTGATGTAAAATTCAACGATGGAAAACACGTGTATTCAGTCGATGAGTACCAATTATGATGAAACAAAACACCTTGATTCCTCTATTAACCACAATCCTTTATTCATATAACGACTAAACTTTGTATTTCTACAAAAAATATACTTGTTATCAGCTTTGGTACTGAATGCATCATGCATTCACCAATTTTGCATCCGATATAAATTTAAAGCTAGTTTTAATCGAGTATTGATATCACCTGAAAATCTGATGAAAACTACATCGGATTGAGTGACTGTTATGCTTAGTCTTATTATAAGCCTAAACTGTTTAGTGCTTAATATATATATATATATATATATATATATATATATATATATATATATATATATATATATATATATATATATATATATATATATATTAATGATAAACTTCCGCTTTGGGCCACATCAATGTTTATCTATAAATTTACTTGCTCATGTGGTGGACGTTACATAGGCCGCACAAAACGATCATTGTCTAAACGCATCTCAGAACATCATCCGGCTTGGCATTTAAAAGGAGAATGTAAAACAATTACTAGTTTTATACAGGAGCATTCAATTAATTGTGGACGCATCGCTCCGAGAGGTTCTTCTTTTAAAGTAATCTACAGAGTCAAAAGAACTGGATTGAAGTGGTGTCGAATCAATATTTTATGCATTGCTGAGGAATTGGTAATCCATGAACTCAAGCCTGAACTTTGTGTGCAGAAACGATTCGTTCAACCTCTCATCCTTCCTTGGCCCTAATCCCCTTAATGGGCATGTTTCTGGTTCTTTGCGTGTTTTTTTCACTTTTATTGGATTTCAATGGTTTAAATCATGAGTCAGTTGAAGCTAGACCAGCATGGAAAACCAGGAAGCACTGGACGGCCGTTTCGTCCTAGTATGGGACTCTTCGGCAGCGCGCATCTACGATCCTACACCCCGCGAGATTCGAACCCAGGACCCACACTAGGACAAAACGGCCGTGCAGTGCTTCCAGGTTTTCCATGGTGGTCTAGCTTCAACTGACTCATGATTTCAATCTGTGAAATTTCTTCATATCTAACAATTGGACCTATAAATTATTTTCTTCCTTACCCCTTGATTAGTATGTAACCTCATTTGTTATTTAGCCACAAATCCATTTTATGATGCAATCTTTTGTACCCTCCTATAAACATTTTTTTTCCATATAACTATATATACGAATGTACAGCTTAAGTAAATGATTTCGTCGAAATGAAGATTAGATATATAGCAATTATTGCTTGAGAAAACTACTATTTAATGACGATAAAATTAAGTAGTAACAACATAGTAATGATTACAGTCCTTATCATAATGTATGTGACATGTTTACATTGTCCTGAGTAAAATATTGTGAATTTTGGAAATCAAAACTAAACTTAATCTCTCATAAATCAAATATTATTGAAGTGAAATTAAAAACGTTTCACATTATACACTAAGAATAGTTATTTTCATACATTAAAATAATTAGAATATTCTTTTTGTTTTTACATTTTGGTAACTGAGTAATTTGATGTTTCTGTTCACATTATAAAGCCCTTGTTACCAACCCAATCTATCAGACAATGTTTTCTATTTCCATATTTTTTAAGTTAAGCTGTTTTCCATTCAGTGTGATATTTTTCATCAATTAAAAATTCTATACTTTTACTTGACCTTAGTTATTTATTTATGAATAGAAATGTTATCTTAGAAACAAATTGAACATTGAATCATATAAAACATATTACTCTAGCAAACTTAACACCTAATGAAATAAAAATGATAATTTTTGTATGTACAGGGAGTCTTCTTTTAGGGAATTTAAAACAATTAGTCCCTTTGATAAATTTCCATAGTGTAATAAGAAGATGAAGATTATCAGAACTATGTAATGGTATATTAGGGCAATAGAATTCGAACAATCTGATCACACATATGCTTGTAAAGAACATTTTCATATAAAAATAAAGGGTTAACTAGACTCGAAATGGGGGGGGGTTATAGGAGACAATGATAACAAAGAAAATATGAAAAACAATGTAAAAACCCATTACACTGGATATTAATTTAATATTATCACGATAGGTTCAAGGTGAAAACAAGCTGTTTTTAACTACACAGAGGAGGTATGAATTTTCGTATGGCTAAGGCTTCAATAAACCATAGTATACGCCCTTTTATACTTTTGTACAACACCAAAAAAGTCGAGTTAAGATCAATCTTATGACCTGTTTCAATGATGTGTTTGGCAATAGAGGATGATGGATGTTTATCCTCTACTCTTATTGGATCATTTGATTTTATTTGTTTCTGCAATCATTTAGGTACATGTGCACATATGTTCTCATCTTAAATCTACCCTGATAATCTTAGCTTATTATCCAGATTGATGAGGTTTCAAACTATTTTCACATCATTTTGTTTTCTGATAATCTTCGTCTTCTTATTACACTATCGAAATTCATCAAACAGACTAATTGCCTCACATAAATATACGTAAATATTTTATGGTATTCAAATATTTTTTTATTGTATTAAAGGAAGTAATAACAATCGTCAAAAAGTTTCATTTAGGTACTGCATTACAATTTTTAAACTGGCTTATCTGTCTTTCAATGTTATGTTGATTTAACATATAATTTCAATACAGATTATTATTTCTCCAAATTGCTGGTCAACTTTGGTTTTCTATAAAAAGTAACTTTATATTTATAATTTCACTTATTATATTGTTATTAGCCGTTAATAAGTTGACGAAACAAAATGATTCCATGTTATTTAACTCAAATCTATTCAGATTAATAGACATTTTAAAGTTTTATATAATACAAATAAACCAAACTTTGATGAAAATCTTTTCGAACTAGTACACTACCATTCCTAAAAAACTAACCCAATGGTTTAGTTTATTGATAAATATATTTGAAGAAAGAACCACATATCTCAATTCAGAAAACATGAAATATCTTGTAAATTCCAATACTCTTGGATCTTTTTTCAATTATCGTGAACATGACTATTTGCTTAATCATTTCAGATGAGTATCTTGAGCAATAACTCAATAGTAATTAAAAACTTAAAAATGATTACGTTGACAGCTATTTCCTCATCACTTACAGTTCTCATCATCAACACCGTTAGCATAATCTGAACTGAAATGTAATTTTGATACTACTATTTGTTTTCAGTGATAATTTATGCGATTCTTATTCATGAACTTTGTAAACACACTGAGAAGTGATATATATACATAACTACTTTTCCAAAAATGTTTATATTTTTGTACACCGATTACTACTATTAAATAAATATATAATGCTCGAAAGATTAAAATTAACAAAATATAATGTAGACTTACCACAGAATTAGTTTCAAAATGACTCATCGCCCGTCTATCTCTTTCACGAGAAGCTTTTTGTATTGCTTCCATATCTTCAAGAAAATTTCCAGCTAATCTTTGAGCATGACGTGCTGCACCTTCCATATTCTCTCCTTGGACTTCAATTGTTACATAACCCAACATTATTGATAATGAATAAGTTTGTTTAATCACGCATTAAAGATATAATATATAATAAATCAGTAATAAGTATAATCACTTTTAAATTTAAAAAAAAATGATGTTGATTATTAGTTATTATATATGTTTGTATGCTTTGTAGTCAGTTTTAACACCAAGTTTTCACGTAGTTTCGAACTAAGCGAATTTAAATACCTTGAAAATATTTGAATAACCCTCGTTATCAAAATGACCTTTAGAGTGAAAGTATTGGCTCTATTTATCTGATAAACGATTCATTTACAATAAATACTGTAGGTATTTATGGAGTATTTAAAAAAAAGTATTATTATGCTTCCCAAATGACAAAATCATAATTACCAATACCTTAGCCCAATGAATATTGGCTAAACAAATTGTGATTGGTTATAGTTATCACACAAATTTATACATTTCTGAAAAAATTCCTCATTTGGATAATAATATTCTTTAAACTCTTTGTCTATATGTGTGGGATGTGAAAATTTCTTTATGAGTGTGGGTGTTGAACACACATATATACACAAATATACATTGGATATAATGTAAAACATTTGAAATGGTCCTGAAATTGTACTTTCCAAAAATGTCCCAGGTTATATATTGATGCATTTTATTTGCTTATTATAAAACTCCTGACAAATATGCGAATAATTTCCTCTTTAAATCAATCTAATGTATTAGTCAACCTACATATTCTTATCCATTTGTATTGAAATAGAACAGAATACAATAAAGTGTTTGGATTGTTTTTATTCATTTAAAAAAATGATAATAATGAATTTCCTATTAGTAACTTATTTAAGTAGTACATATGAATTTGTACGAAAAAAGGGAAATATTCTTTGATAAACTAGTTATTTTATTAAATTATAAAAAGAAATTATTTAATTTATATAAAAGCATTAAAATAGTGTTTACTAGCTAAGCTTATTAATGAAATATGGTTTAGAATTGTCTATTGTGAAATAAAAGAAAGGCATGGGGTGCTTATTTGTTTGCTAGTGATATTTATTTGCGACGAATGGAATTTATGGAATTTAGAGACTGATTAATTGCAGTTCTGAAGAACAATGGGAATTAAACGACAAGTAAACAACACCAAGTGAATATAGTTGATATTTAGTTAAAATAAACAAAGATCATAAGTGAATTATTAAACTGATGAGAAAACATGGATTGTAAAGAAGTACATGGTAAGTATTCACGCATGGCATGGTATTTCTAAAACAGACAAATTGATGTCATTATAAATGATAGGAATATGAATTGAATTTTTCCGACTTACTATCAAATGGAGATGGACAGAAATACTTTTTTCTAAAGTTTTTGTTTCCATAGTCATCATCTATAAATGATATTCTGATCTACTTGAATGCTATTACGAGTTGACTTTACTCGGTAAACGTAACGAATGTCACAAATACAGTGACACGATAGGCTATTCTAATCCGTTGTCCTTGGCCCTGCTAACTAGATTAAGAAGTCTTGCTAAGGCGTGGAGAATGTATTCTACAAGCAGCCAGGAAATACGAGGTTACTAAGCACACAATCAAGCTTATTTATACAATGACAGAAATGCCCTTGGGAGAGCCACAATATAGAGTATTAAAAATATCCGTCAACCAATGACAGTCAAGGATTTCTGAGTGGGAAATGTAAACTGTAGGTCAAATAAGCGTCTCTTGACACGAGAACATAGAATTCAAATTTACAGAATAAAATTGTAAAATTAGGACCTTTTCCAAGTGAGTTCTGGGGATCTAACATCCTTAACATATCAAAGTTCTAAATTTTGTATTTAATTATTATATTCTATTATTCTCAATCATTTATACTAATGAGATTTATTTGAATGTCATCCAACAGTTACTGATTAAATCCTACTACAATTTACATTGATTTACATTTATTTACTTTGTAAAAACTGCATTATTTAAGCATATCTTATGAAAGGTATTGTAGAAACTACTTAAATGCACAATTGTACAGATCTATAATAATGTAATATTGTTTTAACTCTTTTTTCTATGATTTCGTGTATTTGTATAGTTGTTTTCGTTGATTTTCTAAACACTTTAAAGTATTTCATTACAGATGATTTACAAAATAGATATATTTGGTCCTTACTCCTATTCTTAAAGAAATTCTGTATGTACTGTAATTTCTTGAATTCGAGACTACACTTTGGTGGACAACTTTGAACGACCTTTTAGCCAGTTGATAAATATGTTATATAAATGAATAGTTGACTTCAGAAAACCAAAAAAAATTAAGATAAATATATACTTTCTAAATGAATAATAAACAGATCAGAGCCCGCCATAGGATAGGTGGTTTTTAAATCAAAGTAGCTTAGATATGAAAAAGCTCGTCCATATAACTTGAGTTTATTTTACTTGAAGAGGCATTTTAAGCTCCAAAATAATTTCATAATAATGACTACATTGGCAATGATCGCACTGATAGAGTTGACAAAATGACATTTACGGATGATCAGTCGATGATTGTAACCTTCAAACTCTTCAATGGTGCAGGTGATATCATTCACATAAATTGTAGTCAGTAAATAAATTTTCTGTATCGATTAGGTTATGCAGAACAAGTAAACCTGAGGAACCTTAATTATGTACTGAATCACCCGAAGTGTATCAACTAGGAAACTGACGTTTCAGATGTGCTTTTAATAGTTTAAATTTCACATTAAATCATATTTACCATGTGATCGCACAACTGTTATACTTATCAATTTTGAGCACCTTAGAAATCCAGTATAGACAATTTCTACTTAGCACCTAATCAGATACAGTCTATTTACTGTGATGTTTTCAGTTTCTCACAAAATCAAAGATCCACTATCCTAAATCGTTCGTTCACCTTTTTCAGAAACTGTTATGAAGTAATTATATTTGTGCTGAACGGAAAAGTAATCAAAAAAATTAAAAAGTTATCTAGGCAATTTAACAATCAATCTTTCTGACAAATTTTGTTGTTTGAATTAGTGCTTTCCAAAAGTATTTCAAATAGACGAAACATTCACTGTTTCTAAGAAGTGAGTTTTCTAAGAAAAGAGGGGAAATAATAATTTCCATACTTTAAAATTGTAACGAAACAATTTACTTTCAGATACTTCGAGTAATTTATAGTATTAAATATACTCGTAAATTTGACTTCCATTCATCTGAGAAATTTTCTTAAACTATAAACTAACTTAATAATGACTTGGTTGTTTTATTTATACTAGTTTTAATTCTAATTCAGGGATGAAACTATAAACAACTATAATAATGCAGTGTGTGTAATACGTATTATACAACGGTGGTCTTTTTTACAAAATATATCTTATGCATAAGAAAATGACGTCCAATCATTATGACTTAGATGCATTTCAGTATATGATAAGAGGAAAGAAATCGAAGGGAACTAACTAAATATACTTGTCTCCATGATAGTCACATTAAATAATGTAAGATATAAATGTTGAAAACAGATTATAAAGACTGATAAACATCTAGTTGTTCTTATTTGAGATACTGAATATGAAATTTGAGTTTCTCAGAAAGAAATTTATAACTCCTGAATAGTTTCAGTGAGAAATAGAGAACCTTTTTATTTATCTGAGTTGAATATTGTGTTTTCCAAAGTAGACTAATGCAAGTTCAAGTAAAGTACGAACTGCCGCTTTGAGCTAAAACAAGGCAATATTTACCGGTTTACTTGCTCTTGCATAGTTTGAAAGCACCAAGTTTGCTCTTTCCAAACACATCTGCGATCACTGTCCAGTATGGATATAGAAAGGCGAATATAAATCAATCAGCAGCTCGATTGCTGACATTTAGTCAATTCCGGTCGTTTGTCTTCACAGAAACCTCAATCAAAATTGTTCACAAAGTAAAACTAACTAAATCGAAGGGAAGCTGGATAAGAAATTTATGCATAGTAAGGGCTTTGGCGATTCATCAGTCCACGCTTAGTTTCTTTTGTCCAGAAGCGGTAAATCCAATCGCTTATTTTAACTTGATCTAACCACTCCTTCTTATTTTGTTGATTATTCTCAAACACATAACCTTTCTTCAAATGGACAGTCATCTTTTACTAATCTGTTCCATATCTTGTCTTCAGGTTCTTTTTTACGTGTTTGTTGATTCATTTATCTTCGTTTATAATCGTCAGGTGGATATTCTTTCAAATATCTTTTTCATACATTTTTTCATCATTATTATTATCCTTTGACCATGATATAACTTAAAATTCTGTGTAACATCTGGTACCGCTTTCAGTAACACAATAGTTCTCCATTTCATTATCGAACACTTTAGGTGAAAAATAGCTTTAAATACGGTTTTACAGCACTAGATATGTATATAATCGAAAAGACAATTCTGTCGACTGATATTTCGCTGTTTTATTGAGACAGAACGGTACCATTATTGAGTTAAGTAGCCGTACCACAACGTTTACTAGAACAAAATGTATTCCTTACTAACATCTAGATCTACGCTACGAAGATTTTATACTAAATTTTCTTTTCCATACGATAAAGTTGTCAAAGATATCAAATATTAAATGTTGTCAAACGTGTTTTGTTTCCCAGTAATACAATGAAAAGTCACAAGTTGTTCGCGCACATGAAAAACAAATGTATGATCAACAACATCATTTAATTTACACTCTTTAACTTTAATTATAAAAACAATTGGTGGTGATTTGCACACTACTTTAGGCATGCGGTAAAATCAATGTCATCGGATTATTTTTCACATTTTATTTTATACTACTATTTAGTAGTTTGTATGGAAAGGCAAAGTCCACTGGAAAGTCTTAAGTAAGATACATAGTTTTTTTAAACTTGAAATGATTTTATTGTCTCTACTTTTAAATAAAGCGTTACATTCTAACAAGCGACGGATTAAAATTGATTCTGTTTCTTTATTTTCTTAAGCATGTTTCTTTCTATTTG